AATTTCACATAGTCCTTCATCACCCTAGACGAATTAGGGTGAATACATCAAAGAGTAGGATTAAACAGGAATTCCTGTTTTGACCGATAGATTCACAGTTGGGCTGTCGTTCATCACGGCCAGACATCGAAGGTGCGATATGATTTGCTAAAACTCATCGGTTTCCCAGTTAAGACATGTCCACTGCAGATCGTCAACAAATGGTGACGTATACTCACACTCTATTCTAATTTAATTTAATTCATTGTCCGGTAGAAGAAGTTGTGCTTTTTCTTCACTGAAAAAGTCATTATACTTTGCAATTGGAGTAGAGTTTCGAGACAACCAGTATTCACCCAATTTCGTCTAAAGTGATGAAGGACTGGTAGAAGAATTTTCCCACAATGATATGAGTTGAGCTGACGTTTCCATTGAATTTCACATAGCCTTGCTTTCCATCGAATTTTCCCACAATGATATGAGTTGAGCTGACGTTTCCATTGAATTTCACATAGCCTTGCTTTCCCAAAGTATAATTTTCCCACAATGATATGAGTTGAGCTGACGTTTCCATTGAATTTCACATAGCCTTGCTTTCCCAAAAATTGTTTCCTTCAACCTTGCTTTTTTCGACCAAAAGTTGTTGACGAAGGACTGGTAGAAGAATTTTCCCACAATGCTATGAGTTGAGCTGACGGCCACGATGATATGAGTTAAGCTGACGTTTCCATTGAATTTCACATAGCCTTGCTTTCCCAAAAGTTGTTCTCATCCCTAGGCACCAGTGGTCTGCAGTTTCGACCTCGCATTGGTCTTATCAACACCCTCAGCGGGATTCGAACCGCGACCAGCTGAAGTGGACTGCAGTTTCGACCTCGCATCGGTCTTATCCACACCCTCAGCGGGAGTCGAACCGCGACAGGGCAGGATGGGAACTTGACACGCCAACCACTCGGCTACACTGCCCCGAGCGCCTTTTGCGTCACAGGGCAACTGTGAATTTTGCCATATCATATTCTTTGGTGGGATTGTCGATGTAGCAAAAGTTCGACTACTATACTTTATTTTTCGAATTAGTTATTCTTTTCGTGACTATCAGTTAATCAGCTCAACTCATACCATTGTGGAGAATTCTTCTTTTACTAGTCCTTCATCACCTTAAGCAAAATTGGGTGAATACATCCCATATTACAAGATCATATGCTGGTTTATTGACATAAAGCAAAGCTGTGAACACATCGGTTCCTGTTTCACACACCGACTTTACTTGCCTGCATGTATGCAGGACGAGCATAAAGCAGCCAACCCATTCATGGAATTCATCAGTAAGATCGCAAAGTGAGGTAGAAGAAAAAAGTACAAATGTTAGCGTTTTTCGGAGATTGTTCGCAACTAATGTTGCATTGTAACGGTTCGACTCCTGCTGGGGTGTTGATAGGACCTTGGCGAGATCGAAACTGCACTCCACTCCAGTCGGGATGAGAACAACTTTTGGGAAAGCAAGGCTATGTGAAAATTAAATGGAAACGTCAGCTCAACTCATATCATCGTGGGAAAATTCTTCTTCTACCAGCCCTTCATCACCTTAGACGAAATAGGGTGAATACATCTCATATTATACTTTGCTGACCTGGGACGGATATTAAGGCCTTTGCTAATCATTCGGAAATGATGCTTGAACTATGCATCTGAAGATACACATATACATACAAACATACTTACATATAAATGGATATAAAAATAAGGTAATTAAGCTTTTCTATACCTCGCCATGGATCGTGTTTTCGCAAATTGGTCGGAGCGTCAGCGAGAATG